TGTATTTGACTTGACTTTTTTGACTACCTAGGCCTTGTCCACACAAAGGCGGGTATTTTTGAAAACCTAGGTTTTCCTGTGCATTTTGGCCTTTTGTACACACATTTTTACATGTTTACACAGACATTTGCTATCCCACTATGTTGACTAGCAGATGTGCCTGAATGTACAACTTTTGAAAAGGTCATTGAAGTGGAGAAAACATTGCTGCATGTCAAGGACATCGTTTTTGACTTGGCATGGTCACGACAGCCGTAAATAGTGCATTTTGCATTTTCATGAGGATGAAGATGTTTCTGAGAATTTAGCGTGTGGGGACGGGATATTTTTTTTTAAACCGAGGAGGAAAACCTCTGTTTAGAGGTGACATTGATGCAGCTGTACAAACTAGAAACAGCAATAAGTAACTTCATAGTTCCCTATCAAACTTTAAGATCAGTGTACAGACTCACAAGCAGTAAGGTCTGCATACATTTCAGTGGACCCACTTAACTCCAAGCCCCTTATCAGAACAGATAAGTGTCAAAAAATGACGGCTATAATGGAGATAGAATGAATCCTGAGCCACTTTTTAAAGACTTTAGACAACCAAACTCATCCCCTCAACTTCTTCAAACAGTTTCTGATTGGGTAAATTGTCTTCAAAGGAGAGTTTCCCTTTCTATATCTCTCCATGCAAGAACTTTTCCTGAAACAAAGATAGTGAATGTAATCATAATTTAGGCAATCATAACTGCATACACCCAAAATTAGCCTTCTAAGAGACTGCTTCAAAGTTTAAACCTCAAAGGAGTCATTAAATGTTAATGGGAATCTCTACCCATACACATGTTATCAAATACTTTATGGGACTACAAAGTTTTTGGGACACATTGCAGCTGGGAACTTTTAAAAATTCTGAGTGAAGAAGGAATCCAAGTATTCATGTTTGGATTTGAACCCAGTGTTAAACTTTTCTGGTATTGATTGAAGCTAGCTTTTCGCAGTACAAGAGTCAAAGCTGGTTGCCTCCCTTGTGCTTTCAGTACTAGAAATGACTAAAGTGGCCATCCATATATTCATTGATCCAGGGCCGGCACACACCCTCTGCTGTGATTGAAATTCTGTTTGTGCAGAATCAGTGGGTTCATCCCAACTACTACTCTCCTTTTAAAGTTCCATCATGCGTGTGGCACTCAAGAGTATTTGCCCTGCAATCTCCCATTGATGTCCTCGGGACCTGGAGAGCTGAAAAAGAGAAAGACAGCGTTCTGACAGACAGAAAGAAAAGAAACTGTCACTTCTGCCAGCCGAGTGAAGGCTGTTTTTTAAGACGCCTGTCCAAAGTAGAGTTACATTGGAAGATAGAAGAAAGGGGGGTAATGAAAAGTTGGACAACATGCCCGGCGCCATGTCTCCCCTTTTCAAGCACATTGCAGCACTCTTACTACTCTCCTGCAGTGTATTGTGAGGAGGATTAGCTTTGGGAAAACTGTTTTGTTTACCCAGGTTCACTCCTCTTTGACATTTTATGTACCTTTCCACTTGGAGGTATAGTTGCCCTAATTTTTTCTTGACTGATCTTACCCTTTTTCTTTGTCTTTGTACCTCCCACTTCCTCCTACGCATACAAGCTATTTCACATATTCATTTCATTGCCATATTTTTGTGTTGGTTGAACTTTGCAGGTGTATTTCTGGGGTGAGGACTCAGCTCTTGTTAAATCGTCCTTTACGATGCCCACTTTTTCCTCTGTTCCTCCGTCAGGCCTGTTCTCACTTCAATCACAGAAACCCACTCGTATGTAAGGGGCAGCAGAGCTGACTCGAACTCCAAAAGCAGAAAAGAAGCACTATGTTCATTGACATGCCTGGGCTTTGATGAAGAAAAGGTCACAGAATGACTAACAGCTATGAAACATGCAACATACCGCTACTGCTCTATTGCCAGAACAAAGAGGAAACTTTCGTTGCATCCCTCAATAACACCCACAGCTTATTGTGGCTACATTTCTACTAAACTAGTGAAAGAGACTTTGCTGTTGGGTCTTTGGTCGAAGTTACAGATGAAAGATAAAACCACTAAACCAAAAGGCCCAAATAAGTTAAATGTGAACTCCTTGTGGATGTGACTTTATCTTTGACATGGCTGCAGGCTGATTAGAAATGTAAAATTATTTTGAATCCAAACATTTACCAGAACAAGTTGAATCTGCAGACAGTACTTGTTTGCTTTCTTGTAGTAGTCTTAGTGCTTCTGTGTTTCTGCATGCATGTGCAAAGGTCTTGTGTACCACGAGTTCATCCAAAGCAACCTGGCCATAAATCAAAAGCTTTGGACGTGTTTATAATGCAAAGTTTTCTTGCTGTGTGACAGAGGACGTATTGATTCAGTTTAGCCATCATTTTTCATGGTGCAGGATTTCAGCATTTAGCATTCACTATCCTGCAAAGTGTACTGTGTGTCTACCCAGGCAGTACATTTTGTTGTCATGATTTATGAATCTGTTCCTCTTGTCTTATTGAATAATATTTCTGTTTTGTGATTGATGCACCTGAAACTCTGAAATTGAATTTTTGGTCTTTCTTCTGCAAACATTATGAAATCACGGTGTTCAAACTGTGGAGAAGTTCTGATCAAGTTTGTCTTGGCCTACATACAGATCTGAGTCTTTTATTATGGGTGTTTTTTGACATACAGTGTATTCAATACTTAACTTAATGTTAATTGTTTTAATCTTTATCTGACAATATTATTTTCACAACTGACTTGATCCAATTACTAGAGGTCTTACTTTAAAATATTCACTTAATCAGTTAGTAATATTGAATGAGACACATTTCTCAAACTGATCTGTTTTAAAAAAGACTTAAGACTGATTTACTTCTGTACAATCTACTCCGTAGTGGCCTATGCTGTCATGAGCACTACATACTTGCGCCTTGGTATGTCTGCATAGCTCTGCAATACGCCACCTAAAACACTGGTTGGCAGTGGGGCTGTCAATACATATTCTAAATTGGAACATTCATTCAAACCTGGGGGAGGAAGTTCCCATTCGAACTGTAATGAGCCATTTGCTGTTTGATCCAGCAGAGGGCGCTCCCAGCGTGACTTGACCATTGCATGCACTCTTGGGTTAGTTAATAGACTTAATAGCAAAAATATATAAAAATAAGTCTGTCTTTGTCAACCATCATGAAGAAATGATACTTTAGTTGGCAATGCAATTCACCAGTATCACCAGTAACACTTCCACCGTATTCTCGGCCTGTTTGTGAACAGGAAGCCATGGTGACTGAAACCAAGCGTATTATGTTGGAGTTGGAGCTGGAGCTGATGAATATTGAAAAGCAGTTTATTCGCGTTCACTTCTAGCGTTCTTCCTTCTGCAGAATTTTTAAAATGGCGGCAATACTAGAAATGTTTTGAATGCAGGAATATGATGCTACACATAGGCTCCTGCCTATTGCTACAGGACTAAGCGAACCTACGGCGTATGCTATGGCGTAGATTCGATAAAGAAGTACAAGTCAGGCTTTACACTGACGATGTTTGAAATGTTTGACCTAACATAACAGTCTTTTAGGTACTGTTTTAAAGAAATATTAAAATTAATGTTGTCAAATAATTTGATGGTTTTACACAAAACAAATGCATAAAATACAGATGTTGGATTCATTTTTAGACACGGCTCTTGCTGAGAGGTATTTTGAGGTGAACTGATATGTGCATTGCGGACACTGTCCAAAATAACCTTTAACATCCACTCGCTCCAATGTTCACTTTCACTATGAGCAGGATGATCTCACTATAGAGCCCAGCTGTCTTGTTAAAGAGAAGTGCTGTAACAGAAGGCCTGGGTGGACAAAACACTGGAGAGCATGCAAGAATGGAATTTTGAGCAGCTTTATATAAGCTGATGTGATCTATTAAACATATTATTTTATCTCTAGGTAACAATATAAAAATACAATAATAGACACTTCTTTTGAAGATAAGATAAGGCTAATGAGTCCTTGAGACCATGAGTCCATGTTGTTCACTTTAATTGGAATAGGTTTGTTAGTATTGGATATCTGTCGTTGTACTCTGTCACCTGTTTATAGGTCAGGCTTGTACTGGAATATTCCATTAGCACTGGTAGCAGTTGCATAACAAGGCACACAATGATTCACACAAGGCTCATATTATCCCTCTTGGAAAGTAACCAATGGATGCAGATAGCTTCACTGATTCCCCTCTGCATTGGACACTTACATGTGAGGATTTTTTCCTTTTCTGGCTTCCGATAAATGGAGGGAAAGACAGGAAAGGATCTCGATATAAAATGATGGGTAAATTCCTGACAAGATAAGAAAGCAACCCCTTATCTTTGAGCTAATTTTGAACAGGATTTACATTTGTGTCATGCTTTCTTGAACAGTATCATTTAAAGAAAATTGTTTTTTTCTGTGTTCATTTTAATAATTTCTCCATGGATCCTTTTTTTTATACATAGAAATACACTTTACTGCCAATCAGTTCAGGTCAGCAACAGAGTCCCTGGCAACAGACTGTTTAGTTGTACTTTGGATCCTTTCTTCAATCAATCTTTATGATTTGTCACAGTGAATGTGTACAGGGTGTGACAAGGCTCATGTGTGGCACAGTTACTATACAAGTTACACAAAGTAAAGGTTCATTTCTTCTGACATAATCAATGCATCTTACCTGGAGATAAAGTGGCATGAACTCCTGATTTTCACTTTTTTAGTTGGCCAGTAGTGTTTCCTGCATAAAGACTTTGCTTGGATGGGAAAGAGTTCAAAATACTTTTACAACCCTTCTTAACAAACACAATGAATGCTCACATAAAACCATGTCAACCTTCTTGTGAGCTACAGATTGTCCTTTTTAAAAGCAAGGTTTTGTATATCAGAAATATAACCCTGGATACAAATTGAACCATAAAATACCAAAAATTATGTTTTTTGGAATTAAATTCAAGCTAACGTCATGTTTCCAAAACACACAATAAGCATAGTTCTGAAAGTTTATTATGTACATTACCATTTACATTCACTCTGCAGACACTTTGTAAACCACAGAGATGAACACAACACTTCTTCACAATGCTTTACAATGTGTCCATATGTCATTCACATTGCTTTGTTTCAATACACCTGACGTTATAACTTTACAACCGACCATAAAAGGTCGTCCTGAGACTATTAAAAACCCGGCTTATATCAGTGTGGCTGAGGGTGAAACATGACCCCACCTTCTAATATATATTTCCACACTGTATAGTTTCTTCCCCTGGTAAGAACAGCAAACGATGAGAAGAAACAAATGAGTTCATGACCCCTGTGGTTCAGAGAAATATTAAACATCCTGCTATATGTACATATTCAGTCAATCATATGTATTCCTTACAACACATATAACACCAAGATATCTTAGACAGTATGGAAAAAGGAATGTTCCTTTTTTTATTATCGGCCATTTTATCCTGGCGTGTAAAAAAACAACGTGTTAAAGGTGCTGAGCTGCATCATTGAGTTTATTTTCAAATAGAATCGCATCTAATCCATAAAGCTGACGCTGACTGCGTTTTCATTTTGGGTAAGCAAGAAGCATCTTTCTACCTGAAGCTTCATATGTCATTCTTCATTTTTCAAAAAGTCAGCTAAGTAAAATTCAACTCTAAACTCTGAGGTCTCAGATAGGTTTAAAATCAAACCAAGTTCGAACAGCTTACGTTACAACATAACACAACTTTAGACTATTGTTACAACAACAAAAACACATTGATTTCAGGTAATGTTTGACACTTTCAATGTCATGTACTAGTTAAAAAAATACAATCAAATGTAAAAAATCAGAACCATAAACGGACGACATTAATGTTTAAATCCATAAGAAATTATAAAAGTAATAAAAGACTTTGCAATCAGCCTCTCACAATTCAGCAAAGTTTTAAATAAATATTAATGTAAAGAGGTGTTTTTTTAGTTAAATAATATCTTGAAATGTAAACAAGGACTGAAAACATATACATTAAATTATATCTTTAAAAGTAGAGTCTAATCATCACCACTTATTATTAACATTTTTTAGTGGTGTAGTGGTGCCTGGAGAAGTGGTTATACTCTTAATTATGCCCCAAATGTTTTTTTTATTTTATTCAAGTTTCCCGTCCAGCAAAAGATGAAGGGCCTCTGTTATAAACAGGGATAAGTGTGTATTCTCTTGCATATTTAAAAGATGGGCGTTTAGTAATACACTCTTTCAGTCTGAATCCTACAGTGCATGTGTAGCGTAGGCTGAACTACACATTCTAGCTGAGATGCTCATCTAGTAGAGAGGACAGGGACAGCCTTTACATCCTGGAATTATTCACGTTGATGCTATATGAACACGTGTGCAACTATTTTCACAGAGGTAGCTGTGCCTAATAAGCCTCATCCCAGTTCGCTGTCAAACCCGTGCAATTGCATGGTTAGACTCAGACTACCCTTGGTTTCCATTTGCTTTCTAACAGGGCAGGCATGTAGACCACAGGTGACATTTTCTTTGCCATGTTGTGCGAGCCCACTGAAAGCAATCAAATCAGGTAGAGTCACGCCTCCCAACTCTACTGGTTAGTTATTGTGCTGAATTAAGGTTTCTTTTCAACAAAAGTATGGCATGCACTACTCTGCCTTTAATTGGCTTACCATGATATTCTTACCCAACCAACCAATAAATGCTACAAATAGGGCTAGCCAATTGGAGACAGAGTTGGGCTGGTCATGCCTTAGACAACTATGGAAAAATATGGAACACACATCAGGAGAAATTGAGACGTGGGTATACGCAATGAAGATTGAAAAATAAGTGGGTACACACCATATACCAGAGTATACCCTGCACTTCATCACTGACACTATTCAACGGTGGGTTTATAAATAAAACAACATTTTCAGCTAAGCCAAGTACATCCCATTTTGAATTAAATAAGCTCAAAGCTTGTTATTGTTTGTTGATTGTTAAATTACATGTAAGACATAGAAAATCAATTCTCAGGTTAAAAGACAGTTTTAACAGTCTCTGCATCTTCAGTCACCTAGCAGACAGAAAAGTCATTCATCTGCAGGAGATCTATAATGTCACCAAACCAGCTGCCCCCATTAACTTCCTCCTCAACCTTTTCTTTGAAAAAGTTTCTGCAATGAAACATTCATATTCTCACTTGAGGACCCAGTTGAATGAAAGCATGTTAAAGGTCATTAAATGTAAGTTATTCTTGAATTCGTATTCCCCAAGCTCCAAGATGAATTTCTCTTGTTTCCTCATCTTCTCTCTCTTCCTCCTCCGTTGTAGAACCAGCCCATGGCCAAAGCTTCTCCGTCCTTCTGTATCCACAACTGTCTTTGGATAAAATCCCAAGAAGGGTTGTTGGCATCCAGTTTTGTTTGTAACCTGATTCAAATGTTGCATCACCAGATGGTGTGTTCTGACATCCCTGTTGCAAGTAAGAAACAACTGGCTGAGATGGGCAGTAATTGGTGGTGTTACAGTACGGATGGGTTGGTGTGTTTACAGTGCTATCACCACACCCTGAGTCAGACCACTCTGAGCTGTCGAAGCTCTGAAAGGAAGCCAACAATGGCCCCTCTTTATTGGCGTCTATGAGGTCAGATAAAAGGGGTTTTATTTCCCCGCCAGCAGTGGTGCTCTGGAAAGCGAGAGAAGGCAACATTAGTTGTCCGTTAGAATCCCGAACTGTATGCAACAGCAGTGGCATGGCTGCATTGCTCTCAATGGAGTCCAGCTCAGGTGTGGTAAGCTCTGGATCATTTCCACCTTTTTCCCAGTCTGCTCTGCTGGAAGGAAATGGTAAGTTCCCAGTTTGTCTTTCTTTAGTGGCACCCTGCTGACCATCTTGATTCTCTTCAGCAGGGACATGGACTGCCACAACACTGTAAATTTCTGAGGACTGGGCACTTGTGTCCTCTTGATTTGAGGTTGGGCTTTGTGCACCTGTGCCCTCAGAGGAGTTGTCTCTGTCTTGCCAGGTGTCTTGGGGAGAATAACCTCCTGCTTCAACTGCTGACAGATTTGGCTTCACTTGTATGGTTGCATAAACTGTTGGTTCACCTTGACTGTTGAAGTTTACTTTAGAAATGTGGCGATTCCCATCTAGAATGTCCATTGTTCTATGTTGGGTGTTAAAAGGGGTCTCCTGTTTAAAAGATAAGGAAGACAGACCCATCACAGTTAAATAAAGGCTCAGTTTTAAAAGAAACAACAATGATTGATATAAAGAATAGTTCATACAAATATACAAGAAATGAAAAGATAGAAGCTATATCTCAATATATATATAAAAGGATTTAGGGCCAGTGTCCACTAACCCTGTTTTTTGTACAAAACCAATGAAGGCCAGCATTTTCTAAGTGCAATAACACCCTCAGAACCAGGTGTTCGTTGTCGCTCTACCTACTGTATAGCGCTCTCAGTTTAAACCCTGTCACAGTCATCAATGTCACTTTTCCTCTACTGACCAATCAAAATAAAGGGGGGCTGGACTTCTGACTTTCTAGAATAGAAAGAATTTCTTTCCAGCGATTATGCATTTTCTTGGTGAAATCTCCTTGAATAAAATCAAATATTAAGCATTGGAAGCTATTTAAAACAGATGTGATGGTCATCTCTGAGGGAAGCAGAGGTGCTGTGAGTAGACTTTTGTAACCTAGCAACAGTAAGCGTCATTGTGAAGCGCTCTGAGGTAGTGAGTGCTGCCATCGTAAAAATAGGAAAAGTGTTAATGGACACAGGCCCTATTGCTGGCTTATTATCAGATTTCTTTCAGTATTCTTTAAATATGTTAATTTCAAAGGTAGCAGACACACATAACTTCTAACTAAACATGACTCAACTTCACCAATTTGTTAAGGCTATGTCAAAAATTGTTTCTCAAAGAAACACAAGTGCTGACATGGCCAAAATAAATTTGTGAAATTGAGTAAAGTCAGCTTTGTTTTAAAGATTTTTATGTCTGTTACCTTGTACCTCTAGGCATTCAGCAAAAAAATAATGGGAAGGCCCATTCTTATAAAGATACAACATCTATACAATATTCAAGGGAAAAGAAAAACACTCAAACCAAAATCACAATATATTCACCATCACGGAAAGCAACATGAGTCACCAAAACATTTTTTTTGGCTTTCCTATGACAGCGTAATTTGACATGTTTAATTCTTTACAGGTTGCCATGTCACATTGTCACCCTGAATGTCTAAATGTGCCTAAGGGCTTGAACTTCCAGTAAGGCATAATTTCCTTGTAGTAACCCAGCCACACCAAAGGACACTAAACAAATTGTCTTACCAATGGCTTTGGCATTTTCTTTTCCTTTCCACCCCTCATGTAGTAGCAAATAGACACAATGGAAATGATGACCACAGCTAGTAGAAGAGCAGCACTCACAAGCAACCATGGCAAAATCTTCAGATGATTACCTGAGGGGGAAGAGAGTTGATGTTATATGTGAGGGAAAAACAGTTCATCTTTAAGATCAGAAGCACTTTTTACTAAAAATAGTCCATGAGGGACAAACAAGTTTAGTCATGTTCCTTGGAGGCACAGTGTAGCATGGCTGGTATGTTTAGGAACAGATTAATTTTCTTCTTCCTGGATGTACAGAAACTTACTTAAATGTTGGTAAGCAGGAACTCATCTCAACAGAAGTTTCCACAGGGATTTCCCTTTCCCTTTCCATTTTAAAACTCAAGTATTAGAGTTAGGGTGATAATGCCCAATAGAAATCTCTGGAAAAGTTTCAGATAATGAGATAAATTTTTGTTGGAGTAATCCCAGGATAAGGCTTCCAGAGAGCTGGCCAATCAGAAGAAAATAGGCATGTGGGGAACAGGGCCTTGAAGAGACAGCAGCTGAAGCGGCAGAGGCTGAATTCAGGGTTTTCACGAACACCAGATAAATAAGGAGGTTTTTTTTAGCTGCAAAAAATTCAAAAGTACCCTATAGGTTTCACAGACTGACAACACTATAGATGGAAATAAGTATATTATGTGATCTTTAAGGTGAATGATAATCTAGTATCCACTATCAAGTAGTATCAAACTGCTCCATTGAAGCAATATCTGTATTTGATCCATTTTGTACTCATATATAGAAGACGATTATGATTCCTCTAGCAGCCACTTTCTGTATGCATTCTTTGACAACTACATTCTATTTAATACTTTTAATTACACAAGGGCAGTGGCATTTCCATTTTTACAAGTGCACTCAAAGCTATAACTATCCTATTCCTGGGTATCATCAAAATAGGTCAGCTTTTGGCAGTAAAAACAAACAAACAAGGGAACCAATGTTGAGAAGGATTTCTTCTGGCAAACAGACTGTAATCTTATCTCCTGTCTTATCATAAATACAGCCGCCAGAAGGAAGAGACTGCCAAAGCATGTATTAGAACATTTCCCCTTAAACAGATTCACAATATAACAAAAATATTTGAAGAGGTGAAAATATGGCAGATACCAAATTTTTCAGAGGTCACTTGATATACTATGATAGTACAATTTGGTGCATACACAGACATGTTAAATGTTTTTTTTTTAACTTAACTTTAACTTTTTCTTAATATAATGAGGGTAAAATCACACAAATTACCACTTCTAATGTATTTTATCCACATATCTGATGTGAATATAATGTATTATTAAGCATAACTGCCCCAAATATTTGTCCTTATCTATATGCCATGTTGTAAGAATGTGATAGAAGAGGTTAATTATTGTTCTCACTTTGCAGTTTGGTACAGAAGGAGGCGTTTTCACTCTTTGAACGACCCCATTCTGCAGAAGGCATGTAGACTACATAGCCACAGTACTTTGTTTGGTTGTTCTTCAAGTTGATGACGAAGCGTCCAGTACTGGATTGATTGACCTAGACACACGTTATGAATTACTCATTGATTTAGTCCAATGCAAATTGCACAGGTGAGACTAATAAGAAGAAAAAAAAACAATGCCAACATACAACTCAAGAACTGTATCTTGTGTTTATCTTGGTCTGTTTGTATATCTTCTATGGGCACTTACCTTTGCAGCCCACTTTGGACTGGTGATGTTTATGACATAAGAAATAGCAGAGCCAGATGGCCATGTTTTGTTTCTGGTGATGATGTCTGCGACAGAGACTCCATTGGGTCCCAAGGGCAGGGAGACTTCAACATGCAAGGATGACGCCGTTGTATAAATGGACAGGCTTGGTGGACCAAGTGTAGCTAGGGAGAAAAAAACACTAGTTAGTAAATATTGCAATACAATACAAGTAAAATAAAATAGTGTGTTAAAAGCAAATGTACTTATTCCTGAGATTTGAAATCCTTACTGCGTGCTAGAGGTTTAAAACTGGTGGTGCGACCATGAACACTGCCGTTAACACAGACCTGAGCCCGGTAGTGAACATCATAAACTGATGGGGTCTCGGCAGTCAGGTCACAGGACAGAGCAGTTATGTTCTGACAATCCACTTTCATCTGATATGGTTGGTCTTCTTTGGCATCACTATAAAATAGCCCGGTACATTGTGATAAACCTTCGACACTAGAATGGCCCTTTCCCCACACAACTTCAAATGTCAGTGTATTACTGTAGGTTTACTGGTACCATTTGAAAACCAAAGTTACCACTGAAAGATCATTCTGAATATGCTAAAATATTATCCTGTGTTAGCACAAGATGACACAATAATGACAAAAACTTTAAAATACAACAAGTTATTGGTTTTAGTTGGATTCAGCATTTACATCTACAACGTGTTAATTTCCATAAGCTTTCCAAGTGATACCCTCCAAACACACTTTTTCCTGCTGTAGCCCACCGTAGAGATACAAAATAATAATAACATATTCCTGGGTCTTACCTCCAGTACTTGACACTATAGAGGACCTTTTGGCCAGGGAAGGTTGGCTCAACTGGAACCCAGTGGAGAACGTTGTTGAAGTTCATGGATTTAAAATATACTTTCTGATTCTGATTGTCTGTCGACAGGCAAGCTGTCAGAGAAAGGTAGAAGAGCAAAGTCTATGTGAATCACTCTATGGCGTAAGTTGATATTCATTCCTTGTTCTCAATCAGCCTGCTGGATTTCATAATATCTTTAAACTGGAAATCCAAGCCATGAACATGTCTGTTATAAAGCACCTTTGTTTTTTGTAGTATTTATTGATTGACTTTTTGGATGTAAAAAAAAAGACAGTAAAAACAAAAACAGAACTTTAATTGATGTTTCAATCACAGCACTTTTTTAACGCTATTCAAGCTCTTGTCTCTTCAGCATTTGCAGCTCCACCAAATCCAGAGATAAGGAACAGTCACTCCATTTTCACCATCATACTGTAGCTGCAAAGGCTTTAACAGGGGTTCCCAACCTTTTTTCTTGCATCCCTCAACTTGTATTTTTTTTAAGAACAAGTTACTGTGTAATTTTACATTTACATTATTGTATTTTTTTACATTTTACATTTTTTAAATTTAAATTATGTAAATATGTTTGATCTGTTTTTAACTTCTATTTTTATTTTTTATAAGTATATTCCCGTCCCCTGTTTTCTGGAGCTGCTGTAATGCACAAATTTTCCCCACGGGGGATCAATAAAGTTTATCTTTATCTTTTATCTTTATCTTTAAAAAACAGACTTAAACAGGCTTAGCCCCCCCACCCTTACAGGGACTTTTTTTTTATTAAGTGATGAATTTCTGTCAAAAATGTGCATAGTTTAGTTACTAACTGATCTAACTTAACATTTATAACAATTTTGAAAACATGTATTTTTTACAGAATTAGCTACAGATCTTCAAATAAACTAAGTGTGTTATCATTACTTAAGTTGACAGAGCCTCGCGCCCCCTGACATCTTTTCCCCATCCCCCTTTAGAGGGGCCTGGACGCCAGGTTGGGAACAAATAGCATAAAAATAAAAACAGCCTAAAAGAGTATAAATACACTGGATCCACGATCATAGGGAAGTTGTGTAAGATGGAATTTCTTACACAACTTCTTTGGTCGCCGAAACTAAAAAGGTATTTGTTCCTTAACTATGCCTGTGACATCATTCATACGCAGAAATACTCCCAGTCTTTGGCCCTGTCTAACCAGAAAGGAATACCGAGGCCAGAGACATCTTTAACTTCTGTTACAAAGAGTAATTTACACGTAACTAGTGATATATCTTGTGACTATTTAATATTATACCAAATATCTCATGACTATATTATAGCCCATGTAGATCACTGATGGAGTGAAAGTGAAAATTTACACAAAGAGCAGTCAATTCAAAATTAGCATTTTAACAAGCCGTACAGTGATATCCTCAATATTACATTAGCCAGGCTCTGAAATGAAAAAGAAATTCCCATTGATCACTATCATACAAAATGAGCAAAGTCCTCAATGTATTCAACACTTCATTTCAATGAGAGAGAATCGCTCTGTAATATATGATAATGTGGACCTCATTGTTGTGTTGTTATTTGTCCTATTAGGGGTGCTTTTTCTGAATAAAGGCCGATTCAATATTTGACTGCTTATAATTAACATCTGTAAATCAAAACAAAGTTTGTATTAGCTTCTCTGTACTCACAATAGCAGAACAGGAGGAGGATGATGACTCTCATAGACCACATCTTCATCGGGTATGCCGGTCACCAAAATATTAAAATCCCACAGTGCTGCAGCCAAGTTACAAGTTTGAAAGTTAAAAATAATAAACAACAGCAATGAAATATTGAAACCTACTAAGAACAAAACAAAACAAAACAAAAAAACAAGTTAACTCCCTAACCTCCCGAATCCTTCTAAACAAAGCCAAAATCAATGTAGCATTTGCTGCTAAATATTAAAGACGTTAGAGGTTCAGCTCTATTTTTCTGCCTCGTCTCCTGGAGTGTACTGAGAAAGGAGCGGCTTTCCTCAGGTGTACAGGTGTACTTTGGCATTTGTTATCACCTTGTTCCTGTTTACTGTATGTTCCGCCCCCTTGCATTCTCTTTCCCTGCTCTCGACTTCCCTTTTCCTCCCTCTTCTCCTCCTCCTCCCTGTTACACCTTGAGTCAATCTCTCTCTCTCTCTCTCTCTCTTGAAACTTGTCTGTCAGGTTATTACTGGTTTCAACAGTTTTTTTTTTTTTTTTTTTTTACTGGAAATGATCCAGATTCTCAACCGCAGAACCAAAAGTGAAAGAACATGATTATTCATACATGTTGACGGATGGTTGCACAACTGGCTAACATTGTGTACACACAAAAGACACTTAAACAACTTGATGTCAGTTTAGGCATCATGATTACACCTTTTAGGTAATGAGTAAACAGGAAGCAGACTGAATGAACATATGAATATGCACATAATGTAATTTCCCATTGCAGTATTTACTGTAGTGGGGTAGTAATTCAGAACAAACTGGGAGACAGGCTTCATTCTGCCTTTTTGAAAGCCTCATATACAGTAGACCAAATATCTGTACGCCAGGAATTATTAAATGGCTCGTGTATGCACATACATGAACAAAATTAAAGGCGTTGGATATTCTTTTATACAGGATCTGTAGGGAGGTCCGATTGATATGGGATTTTTTGGGCTATAATTAGCCAATATTGATAATTAGTGGATCTGTAATATCGGCCGATATTATTGGCTGGCCAATTTATCATTCAGGCTCTAGTTCTGTTACTCAGAACTTCCACCAGATGTACATTGTGTGTCCAGTTCACCCTCTTCCGTCAACACCCGCAGGCTCAGTTCTCCTTGCGCAGCGTTCAGCTCCCGTCAGATCTCTGTCCAGCGGTTCTGTTGTAGTTGTCTGTCACTCACTGCGTGCGGTCGAGGTAACATCATATATATGTTTAAAATTCCTAACCAACTCGCACATCTTTCCTCAAAATGTTCCACCATTTTCAAAAGTAATCCTTTTTGTTGCGTTTTGGTAGTCCAGCTCGAACCGTTGGCAACACTGCTAGATACTGCCCCCACGATTTTCTGTGGTGTTGAAATGTTTTGTCCATATCCGTAAGCTTACAGAAAACGTGCAGGAACATGGACGAAATGAAGGCAGAGTATACAGACAGAAGGCTCTGTGCATATCTGTACAAGTATCTAATGTAGAGCATAGTTAAGGTTTAGTTTAAAGGTGAGTTGATGATTATCACTCTGTCGCAGTCTGTTGCTGTAAAGAAATGACAAAAATGGGTGCATAACAAAAAAGACATCTCAGAGTTTCTGGTATGCATTATGAACAGATAGGCTTGAAGTCCAAACAAGTGTGACGATTACGTCTTTTAAATATGCCTGAGAGATGTTTGTCATGGTTTACCTCTTTAACATTAACCTTGTTACATTAGTGACATTTACTGTCACTGTGCAGAGTTTAAGGATATATTAGACACACCTCAAGGAACAGCTATGCTGCCCAAAGACTGGCTTTACATCTTTACGTAAGTCAAGTCCTGACATGGTTGAATGAGAAACTTTCCTGTTTAGAAAAAGAAAAGATAAAACCAGCAAAATGCGAACTAAATTAAATGTATTATTTGTTGTACATTTCACTTTATGAATCCAACAACAACTGAAAGATTTATTCAAAAATTCATTTTTTTTTCTTTCTTTCACTTTTCTCTGATCTTTCCCGCCGATTTGGACCAAAACTCACATCTTGATATAGTTTAACTGAATTGCGATACTTGATATATATTAATCTGTCTTTTATTAACAGTTATTTGCACAATGTCAACATGTACATGAAAACTGACAAAAATAAACCACTTTTTGTTAAATCAAAAAGTAATATGATAAAATAAAAATGATCCTTAAATACAATTTAAAAAAAAGCTAATTTTCTGCAAAACAAATTCAGGCAGTATTTTGAGTTTGGGCTCAGAGAGGGAGAGAGGCGGAGCAGGGTGAAGAGGGACAGACAGTGAGGTGAGAAGTAGGTGAACTGGCAGCTCTGCAGAAGACAGGTATAACATTACTTTAATGCCACATAAACTACATAAAATATATCATCTTACCCTTTGTCTTGTTTTGAAACATAAATAGATTTACCCCTGAAAAATGTATATATCGCCCAGCCCTAATCTGTACCTGGTCTATGAGTCTGCATAAAAACGTCCCAACGCTCACAACATGTATTTTCAGGTCATTAATAGTCCTTAAAGTCCTTAAAGTCCTTAAAGTCACATCATACTGTTTATTTATGTCCTCATGCCGGTTATTGGAAATGTTAAAATGCATTCTGAATATTCTTTGACAGGACTTGTCTCATTATCTAAATCACTGGTACCCACCCAAGTCACTTTATGTATGAGTGCCAAGATACACATTGAGATGTGCTTTTAGGGAGGATAACAGTAACACTATTCCAGTGCCTATATAATTAATGTCCATAATTCCTTCTTAAAGGAAGCCTTTTCCAGTGCAAGTATGACACATCAACACCAGAGTTTCACCAAAGTAGAGATAATCTATGTCTTCCAACACGTCATTTTATTGATTTCACACCCGCACTCTCTGTGTACACAATCTGTCTTCTGTTAGAAGGTTATGGTCAGTGAAACCTGCAGCACAGACGACAACATCCTGGCAGTGATTTGCTTAGATGGCTGATTTTAATTAGGCTGTTGTTTGACCACTCTCCTGTAACCAGCTTCATTACATTATACCACCTGGCTGCGAGATAATAAAAAAGCTGTACCTCATCTATTACTTCAAAGATCACGCCGCTTTTAAATGGTACTTGTTGAATTTCGACTGAAATGGGAAGTTGAGATTGTGATATGCTTCCCTATTACGTGACTAAACAGTTGCGAGACAACCGACTGGACGTGGTGAACGTCTGCTTGATTGTTTTTTTTGAAAAGCTGTAAACATAACCATGGCACTTATGACGTGCATTGCGGTAGCTGGACAGAAGTTAATTTGCTAAAGACGTAAACAGCGGGATAGAAGAAGAGGAAGACAGAAGAATTAAGACAGACAGCAGTAAAAAGAGGTTCAAGAAAAAGGCATTATAGGAGGTTGAAACTGACACCAAGTTGTGGTGAATAAATACATTAATACCCTAAAGTGTCTTGCCCAAGGACACTTCGGACATGTTGCTGCAGGAGCTGGGGATCAAACCCCCAACCTCCAGTTGAGAGACAACCGACTCTACCAACTGAGCCACAGCTGCCACTTACAACAGTTTTAGGGTCAATTTTTATTTTCTAGTTAATCAGATACAGTTATGTCTCTTTATATGATTGTCTTGCAATACATCAACTCAGGCAGAATTGCTGTTTCGGGATATTCCTGTAGTGGGTAATGAATCGCACATCTTATCCTATCATATTTTAGTGTGTCCTTGTGAGTAACCTTTGCATTGTATAACCTTCCTACTTTTAAAAAACTTCCAATACAAAGGACTTAAAAAGTTTCAGAAAAAAATCTGATGAACCCCTTTTCAATTCATACCTCATTGGACAGTCGTTTAAACGCCTAGGTAAACTCATCAGGTATCCTGAGTCACATTAAAAATCTAAAAATGAGATGTATTTTCTGAATTCCACTTACTACTCAAAGACTTTACAACTATTTCTTTGAGCTGTTAATTTGTCAGTGCAGAGATAATCCATTCTAATGGCTTCCAAAAAAGAAAACCCAACACTTATTGATAAACTATTTCAAATTACAAATTTCAATAGACTGTCGCTGCACAAAAACATTCGTATTTGGTGTGTAGGGGGTGCTGATTTCCAACCCTGACACATTCAGACACACGCATACAGACACACTCTCTCTCTCTCTCTCTTTCTCTCTCTGTCTCTCTCTCTCGCTCTCAAAAAACGGAAAGAATAGCAGCTGTCTGTCTCTCATTGTGCCGGTACAAAATCCTTTGTAGCAAAGACCAATTTCTTTGTAGCTTGAGCTACATACAGTTCCCTGTGCAGCACCTTGTTTTAGTGTAGTGCCTCAGTGAATTTGATTCCAAGACAACATCAACTTTCCCCAGCCTTGCTTCATTCACAGAGGAGGCATACCTGAGAGGAGTACAGGCTTTGATGTTGTTGGACACAAACTGAGGAGACGTGATGTACTTCCGTGGACTTTTCCACTGCAAGAACATCATCATGAATCATCCTTTTGGCTGTCACAGCAAATCAAATGTTCCCTCACCTTGATGCCAGCCTGTTGAGTCACAAAGACTGAGCAAAACCCTTTGATCTTATCCGGAGACCTCAGGTTAAACTGGGCAGATTCTGGTTCTGAATAGGAAACCACATTTTAAATCTTGTGCCAAAAAATATTTTGCAGAGTCCTGATAAACCCCACTTGCTATTTTTATAGATCATTTTCCATGTTAGTGCTGTTAAATTTTCTAGACATACTTCAGCCTAGCTTAACAACAACCCCAAAAAGAGAAATAAAAACAGTTTTACGGATGAAGAAAATAGTTAAAAGAAGGCAGACTGCAACAGATGGAGGAGGAAATGATGATGCATATAAAGCATCCCTTGTCTATCAGTGGTGTTCTTTGTTCCTAGCCCAGAAGTGTTGTCCGACCAAGTTATTACCGTGTGTGGACAAGATACCCATCTTCAGGGAACAATGTAATTATCTTGTGTGCACAAGTTATCCAGTTATATTTCTTGTGGGAGCAGGTTAATATTTGCATAATAAAGGCGATATGGGCCTTCGTGTTATGCTGTATGTATTTAGTAGAACTATTGTTGTATTGTTTTATTATTCCGGTATTGTAGGATACTAGAGGCCAGGGGCTGAGTGCATGCATGTGTTTCAATCTCTATTCATGTCAATCGTTCCTTTTGATAAAAATAAGTTGATTCTCTCAAGACTGCTGAGAGCTGTCCCATATTTTCATGCCAGCACGACACACATTGAATGTATATTTCTTCATTAGATCATTTTTGCACTCTATGGTGGCAGC